ATATGATATAACTAACAAATATAATAAATATAATTCATCTATCTAATATGTCAACTTGATCAACGTTGACAACTTTAACAACTCTGTTAACTTCGTCAACTATGTCGATCATTTAGATCACATGACTTTATTTTAGCACAGTCACGGATCACGGCTTCAACATCCTTATTTTCAAACAAAAAAGGAATCACAAAGAAAAACTTTTTTGTTATGTTATGTTAACTGCGCCATTACTCGGATTTACAAAAACGAATTTTTTTTTTTTATCCCTTTTAACTAGCGCAAAAGCGGTTTTTGTGTATGTGTACAAAATCATTTGATTCAATTATGGAGTTATTGTAATGCAAATAAAGGGTAAACATTATTATTTAAATTTCGCTAATCGCTGAATTATGACTTTTAAACCGTGTTTCTGTGTATTTTTCAAAACGATCGGCCGATTTTATCAACCTGTTCGAGCGGCGTGCCTTAAAAAATATGTCTGATTTTTTGATATAAAATAAAGAATTTTTTTTTGCTAATAATTTCCGCAACTACGGATACTTCCTCTAATACTTCAATTTTACACAAAAAAAAAAATAAAATAAATGATGGAAACGTATCTAGAATGCAGTATCTGCTGTGAAGACTATACAGTAATTAACAAAATCTCTTCCGTACCGTATGTGGTCATGATGACCTTTTTCCCATCTGTATCAAGCGACATATTGAAACCGAATTGAATGCTAAAGGTGATATTGTTCAAGTGCGATGTCCAAAGTCTCGTTGCACAACAGAGTTGACTTATGAGAATTTAAGAAGATTAGCTCCAAAAGAATTATTCGAAAGGTGTCATGAATTTTATTGATTATTCTTGAGAACTTTTTAACTTTATCAAGCAAATTATTAAATATATATGACAAAATAAGGTATGACACGTTGCTACTACGCGCTGCCATTCGTAAGCTCCCTGACTTTCATTGGTGAAAGGCACCTAGATGCGGTTCCGGTCAAGAGCACACGACCGGAGGTAAATTTATTAAAAAAAATTTTTTAATTTAATACGACCTAAAAATAACATGGTCATGTTTGTCTTCTCCCCTCACTTCAGATAATTTACCTATAATTACTTGTGAGGCATGTGGCG